AGAATTCACACACATCTCCCTACACTTCAGGCCAGCTGGTCACTTCACTCTCAGCCCTAGCTCCCAGGGGCTACGGCAGTGCCCATGGGCTCAGGAGTTCACACATCTTCCTAAACTTCAGACCAGCCAGCCCTTCTTCTTCTCTCTCTCAAGGACAATAGGTGCTAATGGAACATGGTTAAACTCAATCCATGTCTTTATTGTTGCATTTCCCCCACTTCCATTCACAAGTAGACCCAGGTGGCCACCAGGAAGCATGTATTTCTCATGGGTTTCCTTTGTGTTTCAGCCTTAGAAGGGGGTTTTCCCTGATGATGACTTTTCTTTCTTTGATGCCTCCAAATCAAATTGTTGTTGTTGTTGTTAAGTGCCATCAAGTTGGTTCCGACCCATAGCGACCCTGTACATGGTTTCCAAGGCTATAAATGTTTACAGGAGCAAAAAGCCTCATCTTTCTCCTGCGGAGCAACTGGTAGTTTCAAACTGCTGACCTTAAGGTTCACAGCCCGATTCATAACCGCTACGCTACCAGAGTTCCTTCCAAATCAAATAGCTTGCTTGATATTCAAACAGCCAAATAGCTGCTTTTTTTCTGCAGATCTTTCTTTCAATAAGAATTTTATGTTCTCCCAGTACTTCTGAATTGCTCTGCATGTCTTTTCAAGTAGGAATGTCCCAACTTAGAAGGTTCTGAGTGATGCTCAAGATCCCACCTAAGGCCTCATACTCTACAAAGGCTTTAACAAGAAGCCTATTTCCCTGGACAAATTCTATGTCCCCTTTTAGCAAATCCAGTCAGTTATAGGCTAATGTGGGCTTACAGGCTTTCTGTCATCATAATTCCCAATATTCTTTTCTATCACACATAAATACCTATTTTATAATATTAGACAGAGGAATCAATCTCCTCAAGATAGTCAAGCACATACACATTTTTCTCCCTTCTTTACCCATTCAGCCTATGTCTTGATCCATATATTTACTCACAAAACACTGTGGTTCCAGGTGTATATACATCATTATTTACTTCTATCTAATTTAGCCCATGCACACTTCCCTAAGGCTTTCCCTGCCTTCATTGTTCATCTGCCACCCTTTGTCTTCTTGTGTATTACCCTCCCTCTCCTTGCATATTGCTCTCCCTGTCACCTGAGCTAACATGTAGCCAGTAGGTTACTCTTCCCTCCCCCGATCCCTGGTAGCCATCAAAGAATATTTCTTTTGGTATGGAAACCTTTTTGTAGGCTTTTACAATAATAGTCTCATACAATATTTGTCCTTTTTTTGATTGACTAATTTCATTCAGCATAATGCCCTTGTGGTTCATTTGTGATATGAGGTGTTTTGCAAATACATCATTATTCTTCAGGGTTGCATAGTATTCCATGCACGTTCATTTTTAAGTCTATCATTTTCCTCTCACATTTTGCTGTAAATGGCAAGGAGAAACCACATGATCCTTTTAAGATCTTGCTTAGAAATCTCATCAACCGGATATCAACTTATAAATTCTACCTTCCACTAAACATTTGAATATAACTCAGTTAAGTTTTTTGTCACTGAATAAAAAGCATTGCATTTCCTCTGTTGTCCAATCACATGGTCATTATTTTCTTTTAATGCTTTACCAGAAGCATATTTAATGTACACATTTCTAGCAACATTTTGTTGTTGGTACCATATGTATTCTCCAAGACGACGAAGACTTTTTTCTCTATAACTCTCCTCTCTTCCTTCTGAGCTCTCTCCAGAATTGCTTTTAGTGTTCATAATTCTACCAACAGTGTCTTCAAAGCAATGTAGGCTTTTACTCTGAAGCATCTTAAAACTCTTCTAGCCTCTATCCATCCATTACCCAATTCCATAACATCTTCCACATTTTAGGTATCTGTTAGAGCAGCACTCCACTGCAGGTACCAAATTCTGTCTTAGTTATTTAATGATGCTATAAAAAATACATAGTGGGAATATAATTGGACTTCCTCTGACGTCACAAGAGGGAAGGAGGAAAATCACTGTCAGCCCAAAGCTGTATCCTCTCTCCTCCAACCTTCTTTACTAATTCAGACACCAACAGTCCTGCTCACAGCACTCTACTCATCTGGGTTTAATAATTCATTGCAAAAGCCACACAGAACTCAGACCCTATACTTGCAGTTATGGGGTCTTTTAGGGAAATTAACAGGTTCAGGATTAGAAACACTCAGGGCACAATTCTTTCCATCAGGACAGCCTCTTTCCAGCCATGCAAGCAGACAGGCCTCTCTCTTGGCCTCTCAATCATGGGAATTTTTGCCTGCACCCTGCTCCAGCAATTTTACAAAGCTCTTTTACCATTGCTGGTAAATTCCCAGAGCGCTCTCCACTTTGCTGTTAGCCTCAACCTGAAGGCACTCAACTCTAGCTCCCTATTAAGTACCTAAAGGTACCCCACTCTGTAAGTTAGCCTCCTGCCTAAAGGCACTTAGCTTTATTGGTTCCATGGGCTGAGAAGTCCACCACTGTCTAGCTCTTGGCACTGCTGCTGTCACTTTTCTGTCATAGCTTTCTGTCTCTGAATCAAGGGAGTTCATTGTGAAGGAATGAATACGAAGGACACATTCTTCTCTGGGCTCTTCTTCATTGATGGTGGTGAGACTCCCTTTTCTGTTTCTGAGATGACTTATTTTATAACCACATTGTTGCTGTTAAATGCTGTCAAGTCGTGTCCGACTTATAGCATGACCCTATATAGGGTTTCCGAAGAGCGGCTGGTGAGTTTGAACCATGGGCCTTGTAATTCAAACAAACTTGCCCTACAGCACCACAATTAGCCATCTTCTCGGTTGTTTACAACAGAATCATATCGTCCTATCAGCATCTTCCTCCACCTTTGCCTATCATGAAAAGTCATTTGATAGGAGTTACAAAGACTATAAGGAGCCGGTATAGCTTCATGGATTATGAGTAGGACTGCTAACCACAAGATCAGCAGTTTGAGGGAGTTACATGAGACTTTGTGCTCCCTTAAAGATTTACAGCCTTGAAACCCTATCCAGGGTCACTATGTGCCAGAACCAACTCAACAAGGTATAACCACCGCCACAAAGACTATGTCTAGGAGAGACATATTAAAGAGCTCACGGCACCACAGCTGCTTTAACAGAAATATCAGAAGTAGGTGATGTTACCAAACAATTTTATTCTTTTTATAGTTCAGGAGGCTAGAAATCCAAATTCATAGTGTCAGCTCAAGGAGAAGGCTCTGGAAGAAGATCCTTGTCTCTTCTGCTTCTGCTTCCTGATTGCTTAGAGAGCTCCATGTGGTTTTATATCTCAAAAAAGATTGATTCAAAAGACACCATACACTAATCTTGTCTCAGTAACATAGCAAAGGCAACCCATTCCCAAATGGGATTAAACACAGGCTTAGAGGTTAGGGTTTACAATGTATATTTTGAGGGGGATATAATTCAATCCATAACAAGTGATTTAGAGCAAAAATTTTTTTTTAATGGAAAAAAGTATCTCCAGTTTGTACTATGATAACTTTACAATACTAAGCTTTAGTTTGGAGTGAAGACAAAATTCTTCACTTTCCATTTGGGGTTAAAAGAATCCTGTGGCTGCTTCTAGCTCAACTAAAAAACCCATTGCTGCTGAGTTCATTTCGACTCATAGTAACCCTGTAGGACAGAAACTGCCCCATAAAGTTTCTGAGATTGTGCATCGTTACGGGAGCAGACTGGTGCATTTGGTTCCCTTGGTACAGCTGGTGGATTTGAACTGCTGACCTTTAAGTTAGCAGCCAAGTATACTTAATTACTGTGCCAATAGGACTCCTCTCTCTCCATTTAAAAGTATATCTTTAAAGTCTGTCATCCTACCTCGGCTTTCAAGTTTGATTTACATTTCTGGTAATCCCATTGTTCCCATTTCACCGCTGCTAAGAACTTTTGCTCCAGTTTCCTGTAGGGGAAAAAAAAAAGAGATAAAGGGAGAAAAAAATATATCTTAATGCTAGACTATCATCAAAAATTTTTATTTTAAAAAAGTACATTAAAAAAACAAAAAGGATTTTCCCTAATCCAATGGACCTACTGATTTTCCCTTTCTCTAGGCAAAAGCAAAATCTGCTTCCCATCTACCACTGCCATCCAGTTGTTTCCAACTCAGAGCGACTCTATAGGCCATCACAAAGCTGCCCTACCAGAGTTTAGAGAGCCCTGGTGTGGCGCTGAACTGTAAGGATGGTTTAAAATGGAAGTTCAAGCTCACCAGTTGTTCCTCAGAAACGCTATACAGGGCCACTATGGGTTGGAACCAACTCAATGGCACTTCACAACAACAACAAACAGTTTCTGAAGCTGTGAATCTTTATGGAAGCAGACTGCCTTGTCTTTCTATATCTGCTAATGGGTTCAACTGCCAACCTTTGGGTTAGCCATGGTGCCACTAGACTTCCTTTGCATATAGTTTGCTGCTGTTGTTAAGCGCTTTTGAATTGGTTGTAATCGTAGTGATTTTGTGTAGGGTTTCTGAGGAGCAACTAGTGGGTTTGAATCACCAACCTTGTAGTTAACACCAGTACAGTGCTTATCCTTCAACACCATACATACCAGGGCTCCTTATATACAGTGGTGGTGGTGATTGTGTGCCACCAAGTCAGTTCTGACTCGTAGAGTCCCTGTATAGGGTTTCTGAGGCTTTAAATCCTTACAGGAGCAGAAAGTATCATCTTTCTCCCTTGGAGCAACATATAGATTCAAACCAGAAACGAATTAGAATTGTTCCAGAGATCTGACTTCCTTAAGCTTTGCCTTTGCTTTGACTTCAGGCCTAACAATGATCAGAATAATATCAGAGCAAAGAAAGGCTTAAACAGGTATTTTAAATTAAAACAGGTTTCATCACATGATGAAATCACACTCCAAGGGGTTTATTTTGGTAATAGTCCCAGTGCCTTACCCATTTTGTAGCTAATAGGATTCCTAAAAGTAATTTACATTTATTTCTTACAGAAAATGCATCAGAAACATGGATTGGTTTGAGTAGCAGTAACATTCCATTGTCCTTTGAATGGTCTAATGGCTCCTCAGTCACCTTTACTAATTGGCACACACATGAGCCCCGAATTTTTCCAAATAGAAGCCATGTATGTGTCTCAGCAGAGCACTCTTTAAGTTCATTCTTTTTCTTTTTTTTTCAATGCTTATTTTGCTGGGCTGGTATTGAAATCCACCTGTGCCAGGGACTTGGGCTGCAGCAGAGACCAAGACAGGCACAGTCCTTGCTCCTCATTGGGCTCCCATGCCAGGCAGTGAACAAGCACACACAGAAAAGGTCATGGTAAATATCATTGGAATGATTGCTCAAGGAAATGGGTGACATGAGGGTGAGGGGGCAGCTACTTTAGATAGGAGAATCATGGACGTCTCTTTGAAGCATTGACAGTTAAACTGGGACTTAAGAGAATCCTATACCTGCCTCTGTCTCTTGATAAGGGGAAAAAACGTTGTGGGCAGAGGAGCAGCACAGACACAAAAGCCTGCTTATTTATTAATCAAATAGGAAACCAGTGTGGCCTAAGGGTAGAATGATGAGGAGGTGGCTGTTGTTGTGAAATGCCATCTGTCAAGTCCATTCCAACCCATGTTGTTGTTGTTAAGTGCCGTCGAGTAGGTTCCAACCTATAGTGACCCTGTACAGGGTTTCTGAGGCTGTAAATCTTTACGGGAGCAGAAAGCCTCATCTTTCTCCCACAGAGTGGCTGGTAGTTTTGAACTGATGATCTTGCAGTTTGCAGCCCAATTCGTAACCACTATGCTACCAGAGCTCCTTAGCAACCCCATATTCATTTCAGAGAAGCGGCTCGTGAGCTTGAACCGCTGCCTTGTGATTCAAACTGACTTTGCAGTCGAGCACATTAGCCCACCGCACCACAGATGGGAAAGGAGGGATGTAAACACATCAGATTATCAGCCTTGGTATGTTGTTGTTCTCTACTATTCATAAGGTTTTCAGTGACTAAATATTCAGAAGTAGTTTGTCACTCCTTCTTAGTCTGTCTTCGTCTGGAAGCTCATCTGAAACCTTTCCACCATGGGTGACCCTGCTGGCATTTCAAATACCGGTGGCATAGCTTCTAGAATCACAGCAACTCACAAGCCACCGTAGTATGACAAACTGACAGACGAGTGGTGGAGAAGACAGGAATACACAGTCACTGCTCCAAAAGGAAATGCTTAATGTTCATCTGTTTCAAGAAGTAGCATATCATCAAGAGCCAATGACACTGAAGAAGGAAGTCCAAGGTGTATTGAAGGAATTGGCAAAGAACAAGGATGGAATAAAAATTGAAATTTTTGAAGAAAATGAGGCAGCACAGGAGGCACTCACTCATTTCTGCCAAGAAATTTGGAAGATAACTATCTGGCCGACTGATTAGAAGAGATTCATATTTGTGCCCATTCCAAAGAGCAGTGACCCAATGGAACGTGGAAATCATTGGACACTCTTTGATATGCCATGCGAGTAAAGTTTTACTGACGGTAATACAGAAACGGCTGCAAGCATACATTAACAGAGAACTTCCAGAGGTTCAAGCCGGATTCACAAGAGGCCATGGAATGAGGGATATCATTGGTGATGTCCAATGGATCTTGGCTGATTGCAGAGAATATCAGAAAGATGTTTAGCTGTGGTTTATTGACTGTGCAAAGGCTTTCGATTGTGTGGCTCATGACAAGCTATGGACAACATTGCGAAGTTTGAGTATTGCGGAACACTTAATTGTGCTCATGAGGAATCTGTACCGGGACCAAGAGGCAGTTGTTTAAACAGAACATCGGAACACTGAATGGTTTAAAATTAAGAAAGGTGTGTCACAAAGTTGTATTCTTTCACCATACTTATTCAACCTGTATGCTGAGCAAATAATCCAAGCAGCTGTGTTCTATGACAAAAAATGTGGCATCAGAATTGGAGGAAGGCTCATTAACAACCTGCGATATGCAGATGGTACAACCTTGCTGGCTGAAAGTGAAGAGGATTTGAAATATTTACTTATGAAGATCAAAGAGCACAGCTTTTGGTACAGATTACTTCTCAATGTAAAGAAAACAAAAATCCTCACCATTGGACTAATAAACAACATTCTTATCAATGGAGAAAAGATTGAAGTTGTCAAGGACTTCATTCTTCTTTGATCAACTGTCAACACTCATGGAAGCAGCAGTCAAGATATCAAACGATGAATTGCATTAAGCAAATCTGCTGCTCAAGACCTTTTTAAAGTGTTGAAGAGCAAAGATGTCAGCTTGAGGACTAAGGTGCCCCTGACCCAAGCCATGGTATTTTCAATAACCTCATATGCATGTGAAAGCTGGACAGTGAATAAAGAAGAATTGATGTTTTTGAGTTGTGGTGTTCGAGGAGAATATTGAAAGTTACATGGGCTGCCAAAGGGACAAATAAATCCGTTTTGGAAGAAGTGCAGCCAGAGTGCTCCTTAGAGGCCAAGATGGCCAAATTTCGTCTCTCATACTTCAGACATAGTGTCAGGAGGGACCAGTCGCTGGAGAAGGATATCATGTTTGGTAAGGTGGAAGGTCAGAGAAAAAGAGGAAAACCCCCAACTAGATGGATTGGCCAAGTGGCAGCATCGATGAACTCAAGTGTGGCAACAGTAGTGAGGTTGGCCCAGGATTGGGCAGTGTTTCATTCTTCTGTGCATAAAGTCACTATGAGTCGGCACCGACTCAATGGCACCTAACAACAACAACAATGTTGTTGATATTAAGTGCTGTTGACATCGTATGTAAGATTTTCAAGGAATGATTGATGGGTTTGAACTGCCAACCTTGTGGCAACCACTTCTTGACTACAGGACAGGAACCTCTTAAGGGTTTTATGAGATACTAGGAGTCCTGGTGTGGTGCTGTAGATTAATGTGCAAGAATACGGAGCCATTGGAACTGCAAGGTTGGTGGTTTAAGCTCACCAGCTGCTCCTCAGAAACCCTATACAGGGTGGGTATAGGTCAGAACTGACTCGATGGCACTTCACAAAAACAACAGGTAATTCAATAGTAGAATTCTCACCTTCCATCCCTGGCCAGCCCATCTCCTGCTCAGTCATCATCTGTCTGTGCAGGAGGTGCATTGTGTGAGGCTTGTGTTGCTATGATGTTGAATGAGTTTCAACTGAGCTTCCAGACTAAGATTCCCCCAAACCACACCTACTGCCATCAAGTCAACTCCAGTTCATAGTGATCCTATGTAGGATTTCCAAGGCTGTAAATCATTATAGGAGCAGAATGCTTCGTCATTCTCCTGAGGGGAGACTGGTAGGTTTGTACTGCCTACATTGCAGTTAGCTTTCCAGTGCTAATTCTACAGCACCAAAAGCACTGTCTGTACTAGGGGGGAAAGGTGTGTCAATCTACTTCTGAAAATCATCCAATGAAAACCCTGTATGGATAACAATGTGTAAGAGATCATCGTGAATCGGAGGCTGACTCCATGACACCTAACCATAAGTGGATTTAAGGAAATGGATGGTATGATCTGAGTTACATTTTTATAAAGAACTGTGGCAGAAGGGAAAAACAGTGACAGCTACATAAAGAATTGAATGGAGATGGATAAAATGAAAGCGGAGAAACAAGTTTGGTGGCTACAACATATTTGAATTCAGGTTATAAAGATGCAGAGACCCAGACAGATTCACAGATCCTTCAGACAGCTAGGATTTGCTACATTAGATAAAGAGGTGAGAGGTGAGAGAGATTTTAGACTGGCACCTGGGTGGATAGTGGTACCATTAATGACCAAGGTGGAGATGAGAGTAAGGTTCAGAAGTGTAGACTGGAGAGTGATGATTTTCAAACTCCATTGCCTGATTCACATAAAAAGATTTCAACAGTGTATATAACCTCTTTGAAAATGGTGAATCAATGGAAAACCTTATTCTTTTCTTCACATTAATGTGGCCTTAACATCCCCATTATCCCTATGTCTGAGTCATTCATTTATCTAAAACGTGACTTTATAGAATTACTTAAATCCCAAGCCATGTAAAGGGTTTGTTGTATGTTTTAAGGACTCAGTCTCCTTGATCACAGAGCTACTGAAATGTAAGAGCTACTGAACTGTGACGAAATCACTGAGATGAGGAGGTTTTGGTAGTTTGGCCTCTTTCTAACCACCAGGATACTATATTGGGTTCTTCTGAAGATCCATTTATTAAGTATTCTTTGTCCAAATAATGGTGCCAGCCAGTCATCCAAGAGTCTCCAAGTAGTTATTTTTATAACACACTTCATTGTTTTATTTTTTTAAGCTTGGCTCAGATGTGTGCAGCTTCAAATCTAAGTGCTAAAGCAGTGTAGCACAGTCATATTTGACCTCTCTAGATACCTGTCATGGGTCTGCAAGTTGCTGTGGAGACACTCTGATCCCTAGTGACCCCTTGTGTGTAAGAGCAGTGCTGTGCTCCATAGGGCTTTGAGTATCTATGATCTTTTGGAAGTAAGCCACCAGGCCTTTCTTCTTACGCTCCTCTGGATAGATTTGAACCATTAACCTTTCAGTTAGGCGTCAAACACTTAACCATGTACCACCCAGGGATTCTGTAACCAGAGACCAGCTGAAATGTACTACAGTTTTAGTATTTGATTCTTTACTGGTTCATTGGTATTGTTATAATTTCTCAACATATTTAATTCCTCAACATAATTGAGGTCATATATACATATATAAAACCAACAGCCAACATCATCCTCAGTGGAGAGAAACTGAAAACATTCCCCTTGTGATCAGGAACCAGAGAAGGATGCTCTTTATCACCACCAACCTTGAGGTTCAAATGATTTTGCAGTCTGACGCATGAGCCAACAGTGCCACACCAGTAGACACATGTTACCTGGGTGACAGAGAAAGCAATATACAACAAGATTGAGGTTGGCAGAGAAAAGATGAAGGTAATGGAAGATATAGGGAAGAATAAAAAGTGAATAGAGGTAAACAATGTTAAATTGATGGTACCTGGAGATTGCAATCATTGTAATGAACGAAGTGTATGATTTGTTGAACGTATAACTGATGATCTGCTCTGTAAACCTTCACTCAGTTAACAATAAAATACTTTTTTAAATGATTACTTTCCAAAGAGTAAGGAAAGGTATTAATTTTATTGAATATGCCAGATGTTTTAAATGTGATATGTTGTGGTACCCTTTTTGGAAACTCAGAAGCACTTTAACCACTTTAAAAAGTAGATGCTGGAAAATTAGCATTTCCATGAAGTAGAACTCTATATGAATACAATGATTACAATTAACAAGCTACCGAATCATGATTGATGGGGAAATTAGAATATGAGAGTCTAAGAAACTACTTTATGTATTCCTTCATTCATCCATCCATAACTGGGTGGCTTGCTGGGAGACTTCATACAGGTAGGATGTAGGGTTTGTCTTACAGATGAAGGCATTAGCTCCCGTCTAGTATGTGTCCCATGGTGATAAAGGGCTCCATTGTTGTTATTGTTAAGTTCCATCGAATTGGTTCTGACTCATAGTGACCCTGTATAGCGTTTCCCAGGAGCAGCTGGTGAGTTTGAACCATTGACCCTGTGGCTCAAACCAGTCTTATGGTCAACTGCTTTATCCTACAGGGCCACTCATTATTAATGACGGCTCTGAGAGTAGCCGTTGGTAGAACTAGTAGAAGGCATTAAGGTGTCTGCCATATAAAGAGGAAATTAGGTGGGCTATGAAGAATTAGTGGTGAAGAACATCGGGGGTAAACATGAATTTCAGCTATGAGGTTGTTACCAGCATGTAATGTAGCTTCCAGACATTTTCCCAGCATCAGGTTTATAAATACAACAGCAAAGCCTTAGCAGTAGCTGAAGAGAAAAGTCAACATTCTCACTTGGTCAGGAGAATGGTTTCATCCAAGTGGCTCAGAGTGGTTTTCAGACCAGCACCATGTAAATCACATGAACACTTGTTAGAAGTGCAAATCCTTAGTTCCCATCACACCTACAGAAGGAGAAGCTCAGCTTTTGGGGCATTTTAGTAACCCATGCAGGTGATTCGCGTGCACACTAAAGAATGAGAACCTCTGCTCTGTTCATCTTTAAAAAAATAAAATAAAAAATTTGAGGACTGCTTCCTGTAAAGCTGACATTTTAATAAATCCTATCTCCAGTTCTTACTGATTCTGGTACCTTATGCAGAGTACTAAACCTGACCTCTAAAATGGGAGTCATAAATGAGTCCCTCGTTGATATCAAGAGTTAAGCACTCTTATCTGAAAAGTTGGCAGTTCAAGTCTACCAAGAGGCTCCTTGAAAGAAAGGCTTGATGATCTGATTCTGAAAGTTCACAGTTTAAAAGCCCTAGGGAACTCTGTTCTTCTCTGCAATCAAGTTGAGGGCAACTAACAATTACAATGCTGAAAATATATGGAAATCACTTGACATTAAACCAAGCACATGACAGTCATTCAAGAAACCCCAATTGCTCCTCCCCTCCTCTCCACCCAGTCCAGGATGGCACACTTTGGAATTATTTATATTCCGGCACTGGCACTCAGAGGAAGTATTAGTCTTTTCCTATGTCATTGCAGATTCCTCAGATAATAAGTACCCCATTCCAAAATACTTAATGTTTTCTTTCACTAAGATGACATTCACATGACATACAATTAGCCATTTTAAGGTATTTAAATCACTGACAGTTTATGCATTCACAATGTTGTGTAACCATTACTTTTCTCGATTTTCAAAACCTTTCTTCACTCCAGGAGAATACTTTGTACCCGTTAAGTAATCAACCCCCAAACCACACCTCATACTGCAAAAGGAGTCAAACAATATGTGGCCTTTCAGTTGTAGCTGGCTTCTTTCATTCAACATGTTTTATAAATTCATCAAAGTTGGAGCATGTGTTACTTCATTTCAGTTAGTTCATTTCAGTAACATGTCATTGTATGCATATGTTAGACATGATTTGTTTATCCATTAATCCTTTGATGGATGTTTGGGTTATTTTCAACTTTTGGCTCGTCTGAATAATGCTGCTATAAACATTGTTGTGTACCATAGAGTGAGTTCTGACTCACTTGTATAGGGTTTCCAAGAGTGGCTGGTGGGTTTGAACTGCCAACCTTGCTGTTAGGAATTTAGTGCTTATCCTGCAGCACCACACACCAGGGTGTAACTTCTGTGTAAACATGAGTTTTCATTTCTCTTGGGTACATACCTTAAGAGTGGAATTGCTCCATAGGATAAGCACTAGATTGTGAACCTCAAGATTGGCAGTAGAAGCCCACCAGCCACTCCACCGGCTCCTGCAATAGATTTAAAGTCTCAGAAATCCTATACAGGGCCAGCATGAGTAGAATCTGACTCCATGATGCTTTAACAGCAACAGTAGTAATTTTACGTTTAACTTTTTGAGAAACACTTACTCATATTTTCACTCCTAATAATTGATATAGCTCCTGGCACCAATAATGGAACATACTCATTCATTTTATAACAATTTTTCTTTTAGGAGGGACACTGGAAAGTTAAAAATTGTGAAGAAGCACTTGTTTATGTCTGTAAAAAATCAGGCCATGTCCTTTCTGACACGGAATCAGGCTGTGGAAAGGTAAATGCTGTTAACTTTGCAGTTTATCTACAAGAACTTTTCAGAATTAGAGTAATTTATATACCACAGATTTCATGTGAATCTCTCCCTCTAACCCTCCTCTCTTCCCTCATCTCGTGCCCTTCCCCTCTCTCTTCCTTTCTTTTTTCTCTTTTCCTCCCTTTTTCTTTCTTCTCTCTTTCTTCCTTTCTCCCTCCCTCGCTTCTTTCTTCTCCTTTTTTTCTGTGTGAGTGTGAGCTATGTTTAACAACCAGCAGTCATCAGGTAGAGGCATGTGAAGGATTTGCAACTCTGGGAAAGCTACTTTTATGCGTTTTTGTTTTGGTTTGTTTTTTTAACCAGCCACTTTGACCTAAAATGAGTGTTCTTTCAAGATAAAAAATGTGAATTATCCTTTTATACCATCTGTTCAAACACAGACAGTCACGTGATGTCCTGCCGCACACATGGTTTTCATAATTCTGAAGTGGGATGTCAGAGTGAAAAATCTTGAATTTCTTTGGCTCACGGAGTGAATTTCTGCACCAAATGTCCTGCCTCATTTTTAATTTTTCTTAGACTTCAGTATTTAAATAGAATACAATAATACAGGGGGATTCTTTTCTTTTTTTGCAATATATTTACTATTTGGGAAACAGATAATAAAAGGTAATTAAAGTTTAGAAATTTAAGAACTTATGTCAGAAAAAAATGATTTCATATATATTACATTTAAATGTAAAAGGTAGGTTATCTGTTTTAAATTTCCTGAAATATGCCCAGTATTCTTCAACAAAGCAAAAACCCAGGACCAACCAGTGTCCTCAGCACATTCTCTCTCTCTTCTTCAGACAAAGCACACACGGACACACATGAATCTGGAATTAAATATTGGCAATTTCTGTGCTGTATGAGTCTCAAAATTTTCAACTGATTTTTATGCATCTCTGTGTTACATACTTTCTCTTCTAATTATATATGTTCCAGATTCTGTGTTTTATTCATCTATCAATGTGTGTAAGCATATGAATGACTTCATACAGCAAAGTTGGCAAATACACATTCCATGACTGACAGATGTATCAGCAAATATTTTATCCAATGTTTATAATTCCTGAATTAGTTATAACTGATCACTTACCTAATCTCTGTTTAATCAGAGATAGTGTGTGTGTGCATGTGTGTGTGTGTATTATGGTGTCTCTCATGACAATTCAACAGGTTTTATTTTTGTAGAAGAGGCAATTAGCTTCTTAGCCAGCAGGCACAGAATTGATGGTCTGTTCAAATTTTTGGTCTCTCTTTCCTTTCAGAATAGCGCTAGCAGCATTTAAAGATTCTAAGGTCAGCATTATGGTAAAAATTCCATTAATTTCAATGTATATCCAGCTATAAATATGGTTTTAACTAGTTCTTTTCTTTTAGCCATTTGCTTCAATATAGCTTTCTAAACAGTCTGCACATGCAAAGTCAATTTATAATCTCAGTTTTAGTAACTTTCAATTCCAAGGTGGGTAAGAAAGAACTTTTTTTTTTTACATTTTGAGTCACTTGTTAAGTCAATTTTGAGACAATATGCTCAGAATTGTCATGGTCATAATTTCACTTAAAAAGAAAATGACAGCTAAAATGCAAAGGTTATTAACCAACATAAACAACTATTTTCCCACTGTCATTGGGTGGACAAAGGCTTATAGTAAAAGAATCTTATTTTTTTCTGGTTATTATTGTTAAGTGCCATTGAGTTGGTTCTGACTCATAGCAACCCTGTATAGGGTTTCAAGGCTGTAAATCTTCTGGGAGAAGAAAACCATCTTTCTCCCACTTTCTGATTATTTCTGGATCACATCTCTCTCTCTCTCTCTCTCTCTTTTTTAAGTCTGGTTAATTCTTACAAGGAGACCTTCTAAGATGGTGTTATGGTTTAGGTGTCAGGCTGTGGGTTTTTGGTTTTGTTAGTTTTTGTATCTTTCTTTGTTTTTCTAAGCAGTCTAAGATCTATAAACTACTAATGTAGAGGAAGGTCAGTTTGTCAGTCTTCATCAATCTGTGCTTCCAAATACAAAGGTAGTCCAACCTCCCTGCCCCCCATGACAGGATGGTCTTCAGAAGGTTGTCTGGAGTAGTTAGGTCCTTCACACAGACAGATACAGCAGCAGGTAGAAATGAAAGGGACCAAGGCTTTAGACCAAGAGATCCTGGTTGGCTGGATGTGGGAGCACCTAGGAATCAGACTTCCTGATTAATAATAAATAAATAAATAAAAATATGTTTAGTAATATATTTTGAATTAAAATAGATGATTTCTAAAATAAGATTTTCTTTAATTTATTGTAAGAACTGAAACCTTTTCCAAGGAATATACTGTAAATGTTTTTATATCTGATCAAAAGCTGGCAAATATTGGTATGTCACATAGGGTAGGTAGGGTATTTCAAAATTGGTGAATGAGTAAAAATAGGTATGAATGATGTGATTTTGTAATATTGGAAGAAAAGGGACTCAGTTGAAATATTAAAGAATGAATATGTCCTGTGCTACTGTGCGTTAATGTGCCAGACTGCAAAGCTGTTTGAACTGCAAGGTCGGTAGTTCAAGCTCACTAGCTGCTCCTCGGAAACCCTATACAGGGTCTCTATGGGTCGGCACCGACTCGACGGCACTTAACAACAGCAACAGATGATTTTGAAAAGTAGAGCCAATTTTCATACTTCCCATAACTGGCCATGGAACTGCATGTATTACATTTCTGAGTGAGTTCACGACTTGCTTTCTTCCTCTCTAAATGTCCAGCCAGTTGTTTTAGGAATATCTCTATTTATATATGCATGTGTGTGTGTGTTATTATAGTTGTTAAGTGATGCAGAGGTGATTCTCAGTCATAGAGAACCTATATAGGGCTTCCAAGGAGCAGCTGGTGGGTTTGAAACACCAATTTTATGGTTAGCTTATTCTACAGCACCATACCTATATATATGTGTGTGTATGTGTATCCTTGGAAACCCTGTGCAGGTATATATACATATACATATATATATATATAGTCTTTATTTGCAAGCATTATAATCCAGCCAAGCCTATCTTTGACTGTACCAGAATTGAACTTCAAGCTCATTTTATCAATAATCTATGGCTTTATCAAAATTCCTAATCTCAACAAATCTCAGTGAAATATCCTGAGAGGAAAGAACAGTCAAAAACATGCAATATGATCTTGATGTATATGTCTCCTTTGCTCAGCAGAAATACCTCATAATCACAATAATAGCAAATTAAAAAAAATAATTGAAAAAACCTATGTCAACCCTATAGAATGGAGTAGAACTGCCCCCATAGAATTTCCAAGGCTGTAATCAAACAGAAGCAGACTATCACATCTTGTTTGAACCACTGATGCTTTGGTTAGCAACCATGCACTTAAATACTGCATCACCAGAGCTCCTTCATAATCATAATAAATAACAATAATTGAACATTTGCTGAGCCCCTGGCTCTATTCTTCAGTCTCTGCATGCAGTGTCTCCCTTTCATTTTTAGAATAGTTCCATGAATACTACTTGTTGCTGCTGTGTGCTGTGAAGTCAATTCCAACTCATAGCGACCCTGTATAGGGTTTCCAAGAGTTGCTGGTGGGTTTGAACTACTGATCTTGTACTTACCAGTCCAGTGTTTATCCTTCAGCTCCTTATGAGAGCTCATGGATACGACTATTTCCCTTATTTTACAGATGAGAAAACTAAGATGCAGAGAGATGGAATAAGGGCACATGATGGTGTAGCCAGGATCCAAACTCAAGCACTCTAACTTCAAAGCCAACACTTTTAGTTTCTGCTTTTTAAGGAACCATTTGTATAAAATTCTTTTACTCTGAAGACTATTTGTTTTCATTTGATATTATGATAATTGATTAAATAAATGTCGAAGTGACTAGCTAATGGCATCTCCAGATAAAATAAATATAAATTTACCTAGACAAAAATTTTAAAAGTTTGAGTAGATCAGAAAAGAAAGCTATTAAGGTGGTAAATGAGAATGTGAGAAAACCTTTTTCTACTTAATGAAGTGAGATTTACATCCTTAATTTCCCTTTTCCATTTTTAAGGGATGGGAGAGACACGGTGGATTCTGTTACAAAATTGACACAGTCCTCCGAAGTTTTGAACATGCCTCCAGTGGTTATTACTGTCCACCTGCACTTGTAACCATTACAAACAGGTAAAATAAGTTTCTAACAGAACCATGACTGTGCTATGACATGAGGGCTCTTGGAATGATAAAATCTGGGTGTAACCTGTAACTTGACAAAATCAAAAGCTTGTGTCATATGTTGCTGTTGTTGTTGTTGTTGTTGTTAAGTGCTGTCAAGTTGGTTCCAACACATAGTGACCCTGTATAGAGTTCTGAGGAGCTGCTGGTGTGTTTGAATTGCCAAGTTTTTGGTTAACAGTCCAGTGCTTATACTACAGCATCACATCAGATTTTCAATTATTTACCGAGTTGAATTGAAATCCTACAATGATATTTGTAAATTGATTTTTGTGTAACAAATAATAAAATATAAGATTACTGTTACATTCCGTAAAGATTTATTACTTATCTAGCATACCAATGGAGAGAAAGATGAGGGTTTCTGCTCCCAAGTAGATTTAATGCCTGAGAAACCCTGTACCAGGGTCACTATGAGTCTGAAGTGACTCCACGGCCCTTAACAACAACAATATTGTTATACATTCACTTGTGTTTACATTTTGTCTTCTAACTGCTTGTGAGGGGAAAGAACTATTATTTAGCAATTAAGAACATATTTGTATGTAACTAAATGGAGTCCTGTTGTGGTGCTGTGGGCTTATGCGTCAGACTACAAAGTTGCTTCAACTGCAAGGTCAGTGGTTCAAGCTCATCAGCTGCTCCTTAGAAACCCTATATAGTGTTTCTATGGGTCAGAATCGACTCGACGGCACTTAACAACAACAACAAAAAATGTTAAATAATAGATTTCTTTTAAAAATTAATTTTAATGAATAAATTTTAATATAATGTCTAAGGTTTTTGTTAATTTTTTTAGGAAGAAAAGGGGCATAAAACATAGAGGGCTTCAGTGCTTCATTATTCCCTCTTCGGTCTATTTTAATTTAGATTTAGACTTCTTTGTGTTCAGGTGTCTTCCTGATGCTAAAAGAGAAATTGCCCTCTTTACAATCTATACAATTCCCCAGTGTGTTTAACAAGGCATAAGCAAACCCACGACAGGTGTGACCTCAGTATCACTGTCAGTACTAGGACCCTCCTGGTAAGAGCTGGGAGAAGCGCTACTCCATGCTGAAAACAGAAGCAGGGTAGAACTCTTCAATGGCCTCATGGGAAACCGTCCCTGCAAAGCAAGCCACTTGCTGTTTTGCCTAGGCCATTGCCTTTAAAATGACCTATTGAATACCAGGAATCAGGGTAGTTCATGCTGTGATTTTGTCTAGAGACCCTTCACGTGTAAATCTAATCTGTAGGGGGAGGAATCTCTGTGTGTATTCCCTGTTTTCCTCACATAGAGAGTCATCATCCAGGGTCACCAGTGTTCCCCTTGTCTTACACTCTTACCTTCCTGCCTTCTTTCCTGTCCTTTTCCTCCACACAAGTGCCCAGGAATGAACATTTGCACACGTATGTGCACACATACAAGCCCTGTGTGTGCACACGCCCACACAGAGGAGTAGATGAATGAATTGATGGCATTTGACAGAATAAATTGCCTGGAAAAGCATTTTATGCCCAGGAAACCCTTTCTCCAGGATATAGCATTTTGCTGCATTTCCAAGGAATGCTGATGGTGCAGCTGGTTAAGTGTTGGGCTAGGATTCAAACCCGCCAGCTCTTCAGGAGAACGATGAGTCTGCTCTTGTACAGATATATAGTCTCAGAAACTCTAAGGAGCGGTTCTACTCAGTCCAATAGTCACTATGAGTCAGAATTGAACTCATTGGCAGTGAGTTCTTGCTGCATTTCAGCACCATACCTTATGTCTACCTGTCTCCTTCCATATAGTTATATATGGGTATAACTACTACAAAGGAGCTCTGGTAGCGTAGTGGTTACGAATCGGGCTGCGAACCTAAAGGTCAGCGGTTCGAAACTACCAGCCGCTCCGCGGGAGAAAGACGAGACTTTCTACTCCCGTAAGGATTTACACCCTCGGGAACCCTGTACAGGGTCGCTATGGGTCGGAACCGACTCGACGGCACTTAACAACAACAACAACA